ATCGCTATTAGGTTGGAGGCCATCGCTATAAGGTTGGAGGCCATCGCCTTTCCCTTTCTGCCAGGTCAAGGCCCTTCGCTGTTGCCCACCTACACGCAGGAGGAGTTCCAGTCCACGGCCGCCCGGCCTGGACGTGGTCGACGGGGGCGGTAGGTGGTCGGCGATCAGGGGGAGAAGATCGCGTGGCTGCGAATTTGTAGGGATCACCAGCGAGCGGATACGCTTTAAGATGTTTTAATTCTTTTAGGGGATTGGTTTCCAGTAATTAATGATAATTAACAGGTCGGAAGATATGACAACAACATAAGGTGGACAAGAAATGTTAGTTGAGGGGCAATTGTGGGGGTGTCCATGATGAAGAGAGATCCGAAAGACAGAATCCCGTCATGAGGAAAGGTACCCGAGACTAAGTCTGTTCATGTCTTCATGAGGGGAGATCCCAAAGAAAGATTCTCTGAGGAAAGGTCCGCAAGACTAAATCTCTTCAAGAGGAGATATCCTAAAGACGAAATCCCTGCATCAGGAAAGGTCCGCAAAATGCTAAATATAAATCTCTTTATGAACAGGGATCATCCCCAAAGACTAAATCTCTTCATGGGATTTTTGATTGGGAAGACTTGGAGGCCAGTGGGCATGAGGTGGGATCATGTGGAGAACTAGGAGAATGGGCGAGGCATGCCATTGAGCATGAGGGGTGATCAGGAGCCCATATTTGGCTATGCAAGCTGACAGGCATCAGGAAGAGAAGGTATGTGCATCAGGCTATTTCGATTGGGAATGAGCTGGATGAAGCTGAGACTATTCGAAAGAGACATAAGAAGAGGATGGACAGGACTTGTGAGATTGAAGATTCCATCATGAAGGAAGGAGAGGGAAGGAAGGTGGAAGAGAAGGATTTGGGTAAGACCAAATTGGGAAAGGGCAATAGAGATCAGTGGGGAAGTTCTGACCACCACTTTGGGGAAGACCAAATGATTTTGTGGTTCTGAAGAGAGAGTTTACGGGTGACGACCGTGACCACCCCCTTTGGGATCTTAAACACCTCGTGTGTTGGATAGGGTTTTGACGGATTGTTCTCAAAGATTATCCGGCAATGGTTTGGGATTCTAGGTGGTTTTGGACCTGGGCCAGGTGAAGAGCAACAAGACTCTCACGATATGATAGGTTTTGGCAACATTGAGATGCCATTGAGATTGATTATAGGTATGTTTCTAATAGCTTCTTGTTACTACTAGTAAGGCACTTGTTACTAGAAGCGATGCACTTGTTCCTAGTAGCTTCTTGTTACTACTAGCAAGTGTTGGAGAAGGAGATGGTGAGGAGGCGGATGAAGATATAGGAGAACATGAACTGGTTGAGTATTGAGAAGCAGGTTCCAGCATGTGGGTGATGAACAGACTGCACCTGGGCAGTTGCTGCCCATATGCCAATGTCAAGCAAGGTGTCACGCAAACAGCCAACAATGAGCCAGCGTGAGCAAAAGGTGTCTTGGGGGTAGGGTTTGAGAAGAAAAGGAACAATTGAATTGGACATTATTTTAGTTATATATAGTTAAGTATGCATAAGTATGCAATGGCGCATGAACAACAACTTCGATCTATCTAATTACAGCCCAGACTTGCCTGAACAACGCTAAGCAAAGAATTCAAATGTGACGAGTAAAGAGGGTGAAAAAGGACGTTAGTATTGCTGGATGTTTTACAGGAAGCCAGTTTTACTGATTGGGGATCATTGGACATCATGATTGTGAAAAATGGGCCATAATGTTTTTCGAAAGGCGGTTAGAATCACAGCAAAAATGAAGCGGTTTATGCATAGAGGGGGTTCCTTGATCATGAGTTTATACATTAACGATTCAACGATTAAAGAGGTGGAGCATGGCAAGGTGAACCTTTATGTGTAGGCTTATTCACTCCAACCAACAGCGGTCCAGCTGCTCGTGTCATGGATCATCCGGCCTTGATAGGGTTTGGTTGGTGACCAAGCAGTGGATTTTGACCTACTATGCTGAAAACGTGTGCAGTGTGCAGAAACAGCTTGGCGGGATGAAGCATTCATGTCTTGGAGGGGGATAACTTCCCCAGCCCTTTTATTTGTCCAATTGCTAGTTGTGGTCTTGCCTCAAGAAGGGACCATAAGTTGGTGAACATTTGTCACTGTGATGTCACCTCTGTTCTGAGCCAAGCTTAGACCCATGTCCATGTTTTCCAAGTTCTGTGTAAAGTGTGGGACAAGGTATATCCCCATTGTGTACAATGTTGGCAAAAGAGTTGAGATTTGAATCAAACAATGTTCTTGAACAAAACTGTGGTGACCATGTTGGCAATGGAAGGTTGATTCAGGAGGATTTGAACGAGAACCTGTGTTTGACTCTGGCTTGCATGACACCCTGCAACACCCCTTGGCGGGGTGGATGGATTTGTGTGAGATTTGTATGTGGATCTACTTGGGTGTACATTGGAATTAGGGAGACCTCCCAGTTCGGTACCTTGGAAGAAGGAAACTAGACCAGTCTATTCATTGGTTGGGCGTCTCCTCATTAAAATACCCACTTAGTCCATTGTAACGTTCAACCACAGCGTTGGTGGCTTAGTCCATTGTTTTGTTTCACAGCTTGGCCTCCTTCCGCACCGATCCCTTCCGATCGGTGGGAAACTTGAGGGGTATGTATTGCGCCTGTCCGAATTGACCTGTAACAGTTATATGAGCAACGACTTTTATTTGCGGTAGTGAAGATTAGTCTAGGGGCATTCCTTTTCTATAGCCCCATGTCAGATTTAGTTGGCGAAGCGAGGTAGGAACACCCCGAGAACGAGATGGGCCCGAGATGGGCATCAAATGCGCCATTTGTTTGAAATGGTTTGGTTAATGACATGTTTAGCTTGTGAATCGAGGTAGGAACACCTCTCGAGAACGAGATGGGTATCCACACACCAAAACGAGATACAGGAATGGAGAACGAGATCACACACCAAAAACGATGCGGGATTGGAGAACGAGGTAAGGAAGGTCCATGTGATAGTTTAAAGAAATAAATTCCATCGCTCCTATAGTAAACAAGCAAATCACTGTTTTTGGACAAGGCCTCTACTAACCATCATCATGCACTGTTACAGGGAATAGGATAGACCCTAGGTACGTCATGTTCCAGATGTGCCTTGGTGTGGGAACCTGATCGTCCAACTACATGGCACCTGATGTGCTAGAAGCTTGCACACAATCACACCCTCAAGCCACTAGGTACTGAAATCCTCACTCCCTGTTACTAAACGCCAACGCTTCCGCCAACAGTGGTACATTGTACTATATAGATAATGTTCAGCTGTTCAGCGAGTAAGGGATAAAATAAATGTGTAAAAACATGGCTTCACGATCGCCGGGGATGGGCATCCCTTTGTTTGTTGAAAGAAAGTCCGTGAGTGACTCCCGTTCCCTCCACCAACGATTCGACGCGTGCTGGTCCTCAGGTGGGCGACTTCATCCCCAAGGGTCTCTAAGAGCAGATGATAGGCTGTGAGTGGAGGTCAGGATTTTGAAGCAAATGAGGATGATGCTGGTGATGGTAATGACACTGAGACAATGATGCATGGAGATAACCCCAATTTGTGCTACCTATGTGAGTCATGTTGCTCTTTGATCAAACACTGCATGGCCTTTGCAAGTGTCCCGTGTGCGCACTGCGCTGTTGGTTAAATGGAAAAGAGCTGAAAACAACAGCTCATGAGGAATGTTGCCAGTGAACAAGGTGTTCGACGAACAAGGTGTTCGACCACCTGGCCGGTCTTGAAATGCTCACGAACAGGATGCCCCCTCAACGGTTGGAGATCGTTGGCGATAGATTAGACCCACTTTCAGATATCAAGCAATTTGATAATGGTTTGAACCGTCTACATTAGCAAGCTGTTATTCACAGTTGTTCCAGCAAGGAGACACAATGACACCATGACGCACACCACAGGAGATCACAGAGACTTGCAAGATAAGCAGGATAAGCTGCCAGATAAGCAGGATATGCTGCCCACATTTCGATCGTGGCCTTTCGATCGCCCCGAAACCTGCAAGCTTTGGGCCATTCGGGGACCGCTGCTTTCCGGAGGTCTCAGCCCCCCGCTTCTCGGGCATATTTTGATTGGACCCCGTTAGGAGCGTGACCAAGCCTGACCTCCATGGGCTGAACAGAGGGTGGCACTACCCACCATGCAGCATGGCACTGTGATCGCTCACTGCGTAACGCTTAAGGGGAGCTAGTCATAGAGTTCTGTTCGTCGTTTGTTAGTCAGTTGGAAAATGTTGGAAGAGCCGATGTTGGTGGAGCCCCATTGAAGTGCACACAGTTTTTTAATCGAGATGACATGCCACCCATTAGAGTTTGGAGATCCCCAGCTTGCGGTGAGACGGCCACTGTGCCAAACGATTGTATAGATTCCAATCCGTTTTTTTCCATCTAGCTTAAACCTGACCCAGTCCTTGGACGAAGGTCATCAAAGGCGCACGAAGGTCATCGAACCTGTAGATAGACACTCTAGCAAGGCAGGCAGAAAAAAGGCGGGGGATGATGGGAGTTGCCGGTGCTGGTCAGATGTCGTGGCAGTGGCTTCCATTGCATGCAGTATTAAAAAAAGAGATCTTTAGTCTTTTGCTGGCATTTTTGCATACAGTATATGATATAATATATATATATTTTTTTCAGATTTAGTTTAGTGTCTTTGCAAGCCACAAACACAAGCAAACAAACACAACGGCTGGTTTTTGACAAGCCAAAATTAAGATCATTCCTCAAACCTCAGGGCTGCATGTTAGGATGAGACCGAGACCAAAGCATCGGTTGCAGTGCAGAGTCTCTTTTGCCCAGGGGCCTTTGTCATTAGCTTCAAAAAGAAGGCGCAGGTACTAGCTAGGGTGCAGATCAGGTAGGCCTGTAGGCCTTCCAGAAAATGTTGAAGCAACAACATGTTTTGATGTGTTTGGGTGAAAAAGCGATCAGGGAATTAGAACATGTGTTAGTTGGTAGGAAAAGGGAGATGGAGGGGCGACAAGGGCAGCTGGGTTCACGTGGACCAGCCCAGCAAAAAGGAGACAAAAACATCTAGACATGGGCATGGGGGCCGGGTGTTTGTGGCTGCTGATTTTAGCGGAATATATCAATGAATGGGTGTATAATAGGTAACCTATATATATATAT